ATGAGTCACCTGAACTTTCTATTGTTTCTTTTAGAGAGTCTGTACACTATTCATCATTGGCTCATCCCATAGACCTTTGTACCAAAATTTCCAAATCACTTATTGCTTTATATGCAGTTGGTGAAGGGCAGGTTGAATTGGCTTCTCATTATTTAAAATATATTAAGGAATTTCAAAATGATCCGCTTTTGGATAATGTTAAAAAAATGAAATTTGAAATGCTTGCCTCCAAAATTGAGTCCCACATCTCAGCTGGAGATGATGATGTGGAGAGCTTGAAAATAGTATGGAAACTCTTTACCAAGTTTTATGATGTTTACGTAAACGACAACAAGTATGATTTACAATCAATCAACAATGGTGTTTCGTTAGAAAATGCTCCAATTACAATATCTCTAATATGTTCAGTTAGAGAATTACTCTACAACATGATTTCTAATAAGAGCCTCACTAACAACCAAAAACATATCAAACATGCCAGTATTGAACTGATGCACCTTTACGGTATTTATTCCACATTTAAATACTTAAACTTGCAAGTCCATGCTATGAAAGAAATAGTTGAGAAGGTGGAATTATTGTTAACCGATTTGCCATTATTGCTTCCCCTTTATTCATTTCATAATTTGGCAGTTTTTGTCTACTATAGAATTAACCAATTTGATTCTGTTCGAAAGAACGTGATTGAAAAACTCGTACATGGAAGAAATATTAGGGATGTATTTGAGGATGAAGAAGAACGAATTTATTTTGAAAAAGTTTTACTTCACATCAATTTGGTGAATTCCTTCTCTTCCAGATATCGTATGATACCTAAACTCTTTCCTAGACTTGTAAGAGAACTAAATTCAATCGTCAAGTGGAAATTTGACCTTCAAATGACTTGTCTTAAACCTTGCATCACAGATGAAATGCCCACCAATATTATGCCCAAAGAAACAACTACAGACGATCAAAGATATCAATCGTGCTTTGAAAGGTATAGGGCTAGCATCAGAGAAAATATTGGGTCTTATGGATTTTAAAGCATACTTTCAATTTGAATTAAGGAAGGATATCCTTATTTGAAAGAGACATATGTAATTATTGTGAATATTCAGAAATACTTAGTGGGACATAAATCGTTTACTTTCGTTTTTTATTCTTCTTATTCTTGCTGTTGGAGAAATCGTGATCATCCTCTTCAATATGTTTAGATGAAGAGGCTGATGGTTTGGTCAATACTTTTCTTGTGGAATTCTTGACAAGGGATCCAGTTTTACTATCGAATGCATAGTTTCCCATAATTCCAGATTTCAAATCGACGTTTAACCAATCGTAGACTTTGGACTTTTTAGTTTCGAATGCTTTTGGTTCGCTCACTTGGAAAATCTTTGTTTGTAAGAAAATTTTGTAACATTCGTAAGCAACATTCTTTTGAGATTCGATTTGTTCTTGCTCTGATTGTGGTTTCTCAGTAGGCTTAATTGGTGCAAATTTCATTCCTGAAATGTCGAATGAAATATTTTGGGTTGGTTGCTCTTCCTCAATTATTACTAGATTGGAAGTTTGCTGAATAGTTTCTTCCAATTTTTTCTCCTCCTTTTCTCCATCTGATTCATTGTCGAGTTTGGCATCTTGCTCGGCATCTTCAATTTCTTCCTCTTGGAGAACGCTCCACATATTTCCTCTTGAT